CCTCAACTTTCTAGCCGACGTGACAACTGCTAAAGCTGCTTTCTCAGCTATGGGATACCTCAGCTCGGCCCCATGCAGCACACTGCTGATATAATATATTGGTTTCTGCTGCTTGGCTTCTTCTCTTACCAGAACCGAACTAATGGCTTCATCTGAAATTCCCAAATACAGATAGAGGATTTCTCCATCTTTGGCTTTAGTCAGTAGAGGTGGTTAACCAAATTAAGACTTCAGTTCGTCGAATGTGGCTTGGCATTCCTTAGTCCACTCAAACTTCTTCTGTTTACGCGATTCATCCTTCTGGGCAACTGATCTCATAATCTTGAAAAACGGTAAGCATTTATCTGCTGATTTTGATATGAACCGATGAAGAGCTGCTACCCTTCTGGTTAACCTCTGTATGTCCTTTACTGACTTCGGTGGTTCCATTTCGGCAATTGCTTTGATCTTCTCGGGGTTAACCTCAATCCCCTTCTTGGACACCATGAAGCCTAAAAACTTTCCGGACTCCACGCCAAAGATGCACTTTGCTGGATTTAGCCTCATTCTGTTCTTTCTGAGGTTGTTGAATGTCTCCTCAAGGTCGGTTAAGTGATCGTCAGCTTTCAAACTCTTTACCACTATATCATCAACATAAACTTCCAGATTCCGTCCTATCTGAGCTCGGAATACGATGGTAACCATCTGCTGGTAAGTGGCACCTGCGTTCTTCAAGCCGAAAGGCATCATTACATAGCAATAGATCTCATCGCCGGCATAGAACGAGGTTTTTTCTTCATCCTCAGGAGCCATTGGGACCTGGTGGTAGCCTGAGTATGCATCCAAGAGACTTAATCTCTCATTCCCCGAAGCTGCCTCAACCAGCTTATCAATGTTTGGCATTGGATAACAATCCTTTGGACATGCATCGTTGAGGTTAGTGTAATCGATGCACATCTGCCATTTATCGTTTGCTTTCTTCACCAACACCGGATTGGCGACCCACTCACAGTAATCTACCCTCCTAACAAAGCCGGCTTGTAGGAGCTTCTCGACTTCCTCTTTAATAACCTTTAACCTCTCCCCCCCGAAGAAACGTCACTTCTGGGCTACTGGTTTCTTGAGGGGATTGGTGCTGAGTTTATGTTGAAAAACTGAAGTGGGGATTCCCGGCATATCTGCTGAAGTCCATGCAAAAACATCGTGATTGGCCCGAAGAAAAGCTATTAGCTCTGCTCTTTCTTCCGGGTGCAATTTAGTCCCAATTTGCGTTTTCCTGCTTGGATCTCTGTCATCAATCTGTACCTCCTCCACATCTTCGACTGGAGCAGCTCTGGTTTCATCTTCTGGTCGGTTATCTACTATTTCAACACCCATAACTTGCCGATCATCA